CCAGGCACTGGAGATTGTGTGTGTGTGTGTGTGTGTGTGTGTGTGTGTGTGTATGAGTTCCTTGGTGTAGTAAACTACCAGTGAAGAAACTCTCTCTCCTGATAGTTAACAACTGTCCTGCAACTCACAGTCTTATAGAGTGAGGGAAAGGAGGCTGGGTTGGACTGAAAGCTGAAGGGATTTGCTCAGGGTCACACATCTAGGATATGTTAGAGGTGGTAAGATTGAATCCAGGTCTTCCTAGTCTCTGAGGCCTAGGGCTGTCTCCATTATGTTGCGCTCCCAGCTGGGTTTACAAACACAAAAAGGAAACAGTCCCTGTTTTCAAAGAGCTTCCATTCTACTGGGCCAAAATACACACACACACACACACAAAATATACACAAAACCAAAATAACTACGGAAGAAGAAGACACCAATAAGTGGGGGGAGGGGTATCGGACAAGGCCTCTTGAAGTAGACGGCGTTGATTAAGCTGAGATTCCGAGGGTAGGGATGAGCCTACAAAGGCTCAGAGACTAGAAATGAGAAGGTAGACTGAGGACTAAAATGGGAAGCTGGAATCCTGAAGGCTGTGGGATAACAGATGGGTGACTTCATTTAGCCCTGTAAATGCCTTCAAATGTTCTATTTTCCTTTAGTAGCTCTTTATAAGTCTGTCACCTATAAATTTATCCATATTTTTTTTTGACCTATTAACATTTTCAGTCTGTATCCCAGATTGGGTCAGAGTTGCTAAAGCGTTCTACCTGCTGTATAACATGGTACTTCCTTTTATTTGACCTAAATTTATCTCCCTTGATCTTTGTGGCATATAGAGCTTGAGGCACATGGAGGCTGTCACTTTCCCAAGGTCACACAGTTAGTGTCAGTGGAATGGAATAAGCATTTATATAGCACCTACTATGTGCCCAGCACCATGCCAAGTGCTTTTTACAAGTATCATCTCATTTGATCCTCAGGACAATTGTGAGAGGTAAGTGCTATTATTATCTCTATTTTACCATTGAGAAAACTGAGGTACAGAGTTTAAGTGATTTGCCCAGGGTCACACAGTTAGGAAGTGTTTGAGGCCACATTTGAACTCAGATCTTCCTGCCTCCAGATCCCATGCTCCATTTACTGAGCTACCTGGCTGTTTTCTATCAAAGCTAATCCCTTAATCTGGATGAAATATTTCCTATAAACCCATATAGTGACTAAAACAGACCAAAAAAAAAGTTGCAAAGCTTGAGCTGAGGTTTAAAACAATGTTGTGAAATTAACCAAACAAAATTTGTGTCAGAAAATCCTTCTTTGATTTCTGTCTGATAGAGCTTGAGACACCTGAGTGTGAAATCAAACAAATATAGGAAAGCAGAAGGTGGAATTAATCTTGGTTTGAATTGGCCCTTGAAGGTATGACTTGCTTCTGCTTTCTCCCTGACCCTAAGGGCTCTTTCCTGAGCAGCTAGGTGGCACAGTGGATAGAGTATCAGGCCTGGAGTCAGGAAGCCTCATCTTCCTGAGTTCAGATGTGGCCTCAGACACTTACTGGCTGTGTGACCCTGGGCAAGTCACTGAACCCAGTTTGCCTCAGTTTCCTCATCTGTAAAACGAGCTGGAGAAGGAAATGACAAACCACTCCAGTATCTTTGCCAAGAAAAACCCAAATGGTGTCATGAAGAGTCAGACATGACTGAACAGCAACAGCCCTTTGCAAACCTGGATTCTATGAAGAACTTTTTTCAGAGTTTTAGATGTGATGTGGACCAGGCCCAGTGATATGTTTGGTGTGAGACTTTATTTTGTCTGATGCAAATCTCTAACATGGCTGTAGAACCACACAGTTTTCTGGGACTTCGCTCTTTTGACACAGCATACTTGGAAAACCAGAAAGTATGTCTGCCAAGAATTAGGTTTAGACTAACATTTTAGGATTATAGTTTCATAGGTTTAGAGCTGGAGGGGATCTAAGAGGTCATAGAATATATCCCTCTCATTTCGGAGGCCCAGTAAGATTTGGTGACTTGGCCAAGGCCACAAAGCTAATAATTAGTACCTGAGACAGGATTTGAACTCATGTCTACCTAACGTCAAGTCCAATACTCTCTCCTTTAAATTTTACCACATGCCTCAATTAGGTCAAAATAAATATGCAAAAGGTCACATTATAAAAACTTTGGAGGAGAATAATATCAGCTACCTATCACATTTGTATTTAGCAGGAGCATTCTAAACTAAACAAAGTCAAGATAAGATCATAATCGATAAAACAGACAATTTTGATGACATAAAACTAAAAAGCTTTATTTTTGTAAGAATAAAATAAATGAAAATACAAGTAGAAGACATATGGAAATATATTTGCATACAATATCACCAATAAAATTCTGATATCCAATGTATAAAAGGGAATTGAAACAAGTACACATTATCAAGACTGTTTCCCCTGTGGATAAGTAGTCAGAATATAAGAACAGTTTTCAAAAGAAAAATTGCCACCTGTAAATGACTAGATGAAAACCAATCAGTAATAGTAAGAAAATGCAAATCAAAACAACTCTGAGGTTTCACTTCACACCATAAACGTGGGCAAAGATGAAAAAATGATGGGAACTGTCAATATTGAAGGATCTCTAAGCAGACAGGTACACTGAGGCACTGTTAGTGTGGCTGTGGAATGATCCAACTGTTCTTAAATCAATTAGGAATTAGGCAAGAAAAATGACTAAACTTTCTATGAACTTTGACTTTGCAAGCATACAATTGGGCATATTATCCTAAGGAAGTCCAAGACAAAGCAAGAATTAAAAAAAAAAAAAGCAAGATCTTACTTTGGTGAGTTGTGTCTGACTTGTCATGACTTCATTTTGGGTTTTCTTAGCAAAGACATGGGAGTGGTTTGCCATTTCCTTCTCTAGCTCACTTTACAGATAAGGAAACTTAAGCAAATAGAGTTAAGTGACTTGACCAGAGTCACAGAGCTAGTAAATATCTGAGTTCCAATTTGAGCTCTGGTGTACCAGATTCTAGGGCTGGTGCTCTATTCACTGTACCACCTTGCTGCTGATGTACCACCTAGCTATAGTCCTCTTAGGTAGCAAAGAGCTGGAAACAAGGTAGGTGTCCATTGATTGGGGAATGGCTGAAAAAAAAAAAACCAAACGGTGGCATAGGAATGTAATGGAAAATTACTTTTCATGAATAAATGAAACTCAGAGAAATGTGGGAAGATTTACATAAAGTGATGCAGAGCAAAGTAAAGCAGTACCAAGAGAAAGCAATATGCACGATGATTACAATGCAGATGGAAAAAAATTCACTAAAAGGAAATAGAATTCTGAGTGACTGAAAAACTGACAGTGGTATGGAGAACAGAAAAAGAAGCATCCTTCCTCTCTCAGAGTAGAGAAGCAGATTAGTAGGACAGAATATGAGATACATTGTCACATGCCTTCATTATATTGATGTTTTTGTTGAGTTGTTTTTCTGTGCCTTCAAGAAGAGTGCAATGTGGTGAGGGGTTGAGATAGCATTGAAATGACAGATGGTAGTAGGGGAAAGGCATTAATAAAACTTTTTTTTTTTTAATGAGGGGATTGGACAAGATGGTCTCTAAGGTCCCTCCTTGCTCTAAATCTACGATACTATTAATGGTCTCTCTTCTCTGGTTATGCTTGTTGAAATCCTCCACTTGCCGTAAGATGGAGCTCGGGTGTCATCTCCTCCACGAACCCTTCCTCAATTCCCCCAGCTGGAAGTGATCTTTCTCTTCTTGAATCTCTCAGAATACTTTGAATCTCTCGTTTGCAATCATTACATCCTCATCTGTGTTATGGTTCAGAAGATTTCATCTTCTCCATCAGATGCTACACTAAAGGCCAGGAATTAATGTGATTTCATCTTTGAAAGGTATTGCTGAGGGCCCAGGAATACACATAGTGCTGAGCAAATGCTTGCTGCATTGGATTTATTGTTACTATTATTAACAATAGCTCACCTTTAAATACTGCTCTACATATATTTTCTTATTTGATTTCCAGATTTTCCTTTCCTGATCTGTAAAACCAAATGACCTTTAAGGTCCTTCCATCTCAGAACTTGCAGGAGAAGACTAACAGGAGTAGGAGCTCGACTCTCCTATGCCATGGTCTAGAAGAGGAAGGGCCATCTTCAGAATTTGGGAGGAGGAAAACAAAGATTTTCAGCAATTGTTGGTGCAGTGAAGGAGGATTTTCTGCAGTATTTGGTGCAGTGAGCACGGAAGATTTTTGGTGGCACCCAGAGCAGCAAGGGGGTTGCAAGGCTAGCACCTGGGGATATAGCTGAGTTTTTGAAGAAGGGAGGGGTTAGTCAGTAGCCTCTATGTCCCAATGCAGCAATGCTAGCTGGATCAGGCAGAAGGGCTGGTGCAATGGTGTGGAAGAGTCTGATTGAGAGCAATTCTTCCAATTCTTTCCCCACTGCCCAGCTGGCACATTCTACCCAACCCCTGGGGCTGCTTTCTGCTAGGGCAGCCTTCGTGAACCATAGCTCCAGTGTCCCAGTCTCCCCTCCTATTTCTCATTGACACTTGGTGGGAGGGAGAACGCGCGCGCGCGCTCCTGGCCTTGTGTGTGTATGGGGCGGGGGGGTTCTGTCTGTGGCTCCTGACCTTGCTAAAGCCTGAACACCCCAGTGGGGAAGAAGACAATTCAAGGGCGATGCCCAGAGCTGGCATCGGGGCACCGAGAAAAAAACCTCTCTTTCTGGCCCTTTCCACTTGGCAAACTCACTCTGACGTCTGGAGAACCTGCAGCCGGGCGACCTCAGTGCACCAGCCTTAGAAAAAAGGGAAATCTTGGGGGCTTTGGTTTCCAGGCAAGAGCCTGGGGGTGAGCAAGAAGGGGGTGGGGTGGGAATTGGAGACGCTTCTCAGAGGCTGAGCCGGGAGAAGGGGTGGGTCCAGATTAGCATAGCTTCCTCCCTTTCTCCACCTCCTCCTCCAGCCCTTTTCTGAAAGAGGCTGGGGGGGAGTGGTGGGGGAGTCTGCTGAATGGCCTCTCGCTTCCCTATTCATTTCTTCTCCTGCTGCTTCCTGCGCTCCTTGGCCGCTGCCGCCACCATCCCTCGGTTGGTGGGTGAATGAAAGGCAGAGGCTGCGGGAGGAGCTGGTCTAAGAACTGCCCTGCAGACACTGCCGGACCGCCCAAGAGGGAACGAGCCGGAGCCAGAACTGGAGATGTACGGTAAGAACTGGCCAAGCGGAGCCCGCGAGATGGGAGTGGGAAGCCCAGCCGCCAGACCCTCAGGTTCAACGACCCCAACCAGCCCCCAGCCCCTACCAGCTGGAGTCTTTAGCAAACTTCCAACAGCCGAGAACCGCGTGGGGGGAAGTGAATGAATCACTCTTCCCCCACTAGCTAAGCCCTGAAGGAAATGGGCGAGGGCTCGCTGGCCAGCCTGGAATCCTGTTTGTGTTTGTCGGTGATGCTGTGTAGGGGCTCCCCTAAGGAGCTGGAGACAAAGCTAGCGAAGAGAGGGGGAAGGGGGAAGGTACGGACACTTTGAGGGGCGTCTCTGGGTCCCTCTGTAGTGGGCGCGGTTGCCTATTGTTTGGAGATGCTCTGGGGGTTGGCCAGCTGAGAAGGACTTAGTTGGCCCTGACCTCTGAGGGAGGTCTAGTTCTAGTAGTCTACTTCCATTGTCAAGGGCTGGAATTTCGTGTGTAGCCAGTTTCAGTGGGGCGGTTCTTGGTGTAGTGGTCAGACCCTCGACATCGTCTTGGACCTAGGAAAGCTAAGCTTCAAAACACACCTTTGACACTTAGGGTTGACCCGGAATGGTGCATTGGAAGGAATGCTGGATCTGGGGTTAAAGGATGTGGGTGCGAATTCTGTCTCTGCCACTTTTATCGACCTAGGTGACCTTGGGCAAGTTACTTAAACCTCTCTGGGCCTCAGTTTCCTCAACTGCAAAATGAGAGGGTTGGACCTAGATGAACTAGAAGGTCTTTTCTCTCTCACTTTAATCTACTTGAACCTCAGTTTCCTCCTCCAAAAAATGGGATTAATAATACTTACCGCATGGGATGTTAGAAGTATCAAATAAGGTGGTATATACAAAGCACTTTGGATCAGATGGGAGAATGTCTATAAAGCACTTTGCAAACCTTAAAGCACTATATAAATGCCAGCTATTATTAGGAAAGCTGAGCAGAAAGGAAATGCCTTGTATAGGTAGTGGTGTGACTGAATTTGCAGCGCCTAGGCTGACTAAAGCAGGGCTGGGAGTTAGTGGAGACTATTATTATCCCTCTGGGAAGAGGGTCATGGCTATCTGTCCCTTTCCTTACTGTCTTGGTAAGGGAAGACTGGGAAGTGGAAGCTGGGCTCTGGCAGGGGTTATGATACTGAAGTCTGGTGAATAGACTAGTATTTGGATCTTATTTTACTACTGGCTGGGCTTTTTCTCATCTCTCCAAGGGTTCGACTCCACGTCTTTTCAGATCAGTATGGTGTTGCGGAAGAAGCACTGAATTTAGAGAGAAAACCTGGGTCACCAGCTCTACGATGGTGACCTTGGGCAAGTCATGTCCTGGTCTAAGCCTCAGTTTCTTCATCTGTAAAATGAAGAGGTTTGAGAACTTTTAAGGTTCCTTCCTAAAATCTATCATCAGCTGGTGAAAATGGGGAGAGAAGCTAAGAGGAGGGTTGGCTACGGTGCTGAGCTCCATCCTATTTGACCCAGCTCCTAGCCTGAGCTTCCCAAACCCTCACCACCCCCACAACTTATGTTCAACAGCTGATTTCACACCTGCCGTTGCTCTGCTTTGTAGCCTACCAGCAGGTCCCCTGGCTTTGCTGGAGATTCGGCTTGTCAAGAAAACAAACCTTTTTGGGTTCCAGGATGACAGGGATGCTTCACTAAGTAGAGGGTTGGAAGGAGGTAACAGAGTTTTGGGAAAAGAGTCCTGGACTAGAGATCAGAAGGATTGAGGGGTTAGACTCTCACCTTTGACACTGATGTACTGTGTAACCATGGCAAATCACTTAACCTCTCTGAGCCTCAGTTATCTTATCTATAAAATGGGTGCAATAACACCACCTACTTCATAGGGTTGTTATGAAGCCCAAAATGAGGGAACGTATGTAAAGCACTTTTTCAAACCCTAAAGAGATAGGTTAATGTCCTCTGCTGTTTTTGTTACTATTATCCTTCAGAGATATAGGCCAGCCTAAGGACCAGGTTCCTTGGAGAAAATGGACATCAGGTATTAGGAAAATCATCCTTTAACTAAGAACTGCCCTGAGGAGATTGAGATGACTCTGATAGTTTTAAGATATGGGAGGGGGGAAATGGTTATATCATTCATCATCTTTCTCTGGAAGTAGAAACTCAGAGCCCAGGGAGTGGCTCCCTGGAGAAGGGCAGATTTCTCTTTTAATTGATCTCCAAGGTCTCATTGTCATTTTTGCCTTCTTTCCCTCTGGGAACTGGCTGCGAGTTATAAATTTGGTTGGGGACCTTGGGATGCACAGCAAGGTAGTACAATGGAAAGTGTGCTAGAGTTAGAGTCAGAAGACCTGAGTTCAAATTCTGACTGTTACAGTGTGACTTCGAGCTAGTTACTTCCCGTCCTTGGACCTCAGTTCCCTCATTTGTAAAATGAGAAGAGGTTGTTGGATAAGATGGCTTCTGAAATTCCTTTTGGCCCTAACTGTATGATCCTAGGAACCAGGTAGAATACCCTGGCAGCTCCTGATGAGTTACAGCCCAAGGTTAAGAGTCCAAACTGTCTTAGTGGGAAGAGCAGAGACTCCACTTAGAAGCTAACCTGATTTTCTCTCCAACTTTAGCATGCCTCCCTTCCGTACCTGAATTTTTGAGCTCTGACCAAATCCCAGAAGGTTCCTCTCCATCATTTTCCCCACCCACCCACCCCTTGCTATTTTGGTCTTGGATGACCTAAGCTGGGCTATTTGACCTCTGACATACTAGATTTTTCTGAGCTGCTAATCAGTGAAGAGAGAGCCTGGAAGGTGAACAGCAGCTGTGGTGTGGTCTAATAAGCCCGATGTTTTCTTTCCATGAGTCTCTCTTCTTTCCCCTCCATCCCCTCGATGTTCTGCAGAGTAGCCCAAAACTGCAGCTCCTTTGAGGGAGGGCATGTGACTGCAGGACACCTGCAATGGGAAAACAGCCAGGGCAAGGTCCCATTGGAGCAGGATTGGGGGACCTGAATAAAGGAGATGGGGACCCAAGGCTCCTGGGCTTCTTTCTGCATCTTTATAGCTTGAAGCAAGGCAAGAGATGAGGGTAGAAGAGTAGAGAAGTAGGGGGAACTTAGGAACCGAGATGTCTGGGTTCTATTTTGGGAGCTGCTAAGGTTTCTCAACTCCCTGCTATTTCTCCAGCAGCAAATGGAAACAATATTAGTACCCAAAGATTATTTGTTAAAAGATAAGGTTAAAGAAAGGCTTGAGAGGGCCATCTTATGGTCCTCTTAATGGGGAAGGAATCAGACCAACAAAACTCCTACTTGCACATCCTTTGGGAGAGGAATGTTATGTTGCATCTTGTTTGAATTTCAGGTTTAGAATAGTTTTGTGGAAAAGGTACTGGACTAGGGAACAGGAGATCTGGGGTCTAATAATGACTCCACTGCTAATTAACTGTGTGACCTTAGTTAAATCACTTTACCTATCTGGGGCTCAGTTTCCTCATCTGTAAAAGGAAGGGCTTGGATTGGGTGACCTTTAAGGCCCCCTCTGGTTCTAAACCAAGGCTCTTTTTGATGCAAAAATGAAAGGGCTGGAGTAAAATGATCTTCAAGGTCCTTTCAGCTCTGATTCATGAGATGGAGTAGATACATCCTTCTAGATTTCTAGTATTTTCCTTTTTAAAAAAAGTATCATGTGATAATTTTTGGCTCTTGGGGATATAGTGATTGGCAGAAAGTGGCAGTGGTGGATGGGGAAGGGGTTATGCAGGGCATGGTAGAAAATAGAATCTTAGAGATCCCCTAGTCTAACCTTCTTATTTTACAGATGAGGAAATTGAGCACAGAGAAATTGTGACTAGCCCAAGGTCAGGAGGCTGTCTTCTAACTTCCTATTTGCTCTTCTTTGGAGCATACCCTGCTGTTTCTTGGAAGAAGAGAGGTTTGTAGATTTCCATCAGGAATGACCTATTGAGCCACTAGACAGTGATGATTAATGAAACACTTAGAGGCAAAAGTTTTAGGGCATCTTTGCCACAAGATGATGTGACAATGACCATGAAAAAGATACAAGATCAGCTTCCTTAAGATTCTGACCTTGAATCTGTTTTCTTTTTTACTTTCTCATTTGGAGTACCTTGGCATTGATTGTCCCCATGCCTAGATTACAGTCCTTCCTCAGCTGAAGAGCTATCTTCTGCATAAATCTTTTTCTGATTTTCCCCCCACTTACTAGGACCTTCCCCACAAAATTATCTTATATTCATTGTGTATATATTCTCTATATATTTGCACATGTGGGCAGCTAGGTGGCACAGTGGACAGAGTGCTGGGCCTAGAGTCAGGAAGACTCATCTTCCTGAGTTTATATATGACCTCAGACACTTACTAGTTGTGTGACCCTGGGCAAGTCACTTAACCCAGTCTGCCTCAATCTCCTCATTTGTCAAATGAGCTGCAGAAGGAAATGGCAAACCACTTCAGTATCTTGGCCAAGAAAACTCCAAATGGGGTCACAAAGAGTCTGACACAACATGTTGTCTTCCTTGATAGACTGCCCTTAAGTCCCTTAAGGGCAGGGACCATTTCAGTTATTTTGCCTTGGTATCCCCAACTCCTAGGACACAGTGCCTAGCAGTGTGGTAGGACCTTCATAAAGGTTTGTTGATTGGGAGACTTGGCAAATCCATTTACTCCCAAGGTTTTAATTAGTAACTCTATTAATGTATCTCAAATCCAGCAGCTTTAGCCTTGATTTCTCTTTTGTTCTCTAGACATATCTCCTGGTTACTTATTAGTACTTCAAATGCAATATGTTTAAAATTATCTTTATTATCTTTCTTAAACCTGCTCTTCACTCTTTCTTTCAATGGCCTCACTACTTACCTGTGTTTGAAAACTTGGTGTTAACTTTGTCTCTTCCCTCTTCCTAACTCCTCATACTATTCAACTGCTGAGTCTTATCAACCATCTCCACTATATTACTTTCATCTATCCCCTCTTCTCTATTCCCATTTCTCCCACCCT